AGGGGCAGCTGGTCAGAAACTGGATGTGGTCCTCTGTGTGTGAGAGCTGCTGCAGCTCAGCGTCTTTCCTCTGCAGCTCAGTGATCTCCTGCTGCAGCTCCTGCTGAAGCTCTTTGACTCCCCTCACTGCAGTTTGCTGCTGGGATCTGACCTGCTGCTCCACATCAGAGCGTCTTTTCTTGATGAGACGGATGAGCTCAGTGAACATCTTCTCACTGTCCTCCACTGTTTTGTCAGCAGACTGATCGATGGCCTCCACCTCCTGCTGGAGCAGCTTCACATCTTTCTGTGTGTCCTGGATTCTCTGCTGGATTTGTTGCCGCCTCCCCTTCAGCTCTCTCTGCCTCTCAGTCCTTTCTGCTGCCGCTGACACTGTGTGGTGGCCTTTATGCTCCTCCATCGCACAGACAAGACAGATGGACTTCTGATCAGTGCGGCAGAACAGCTTCTTCACCTCATCATGGAAAGAGCAGATGTTTTCCTGGAGCTTCTTGGAGGGCTCCACCAGCTTGTGCTTCTTAAATGGAGGTGACTCATAATGAGGCTGAAGGTGCTCCTCACAGTAAGAGGCCACACAGACCAAACAGGACTTGCTGGCTCTCAGTTTTCTCCCAGAGCAGACATCACAGGCCACATCTTCAGGTCCAGCATAGCAGTGATCAGCAGGAGCAGGCTGGAGTCCAGTCTTCTTCAGTTGCTCCACTAAAGATGCCAAAATGGTGTTTTTCTCCAGGACAGGCCTGGGTATGAAGCTTTGCCTGCATTGAGGGCAGCTGTGAACTCCCTTCTGATCCTCTCCATCAAAGTGGGCTTTGATGCAGCTCATGCAGTAGCTGTGTCCACAGGGAATAGTCACCGGGTCCTTCAGGACCTCCAGGCAGATGGAGCAGGAGAAGGTTTCTGTGTCCAGCTGAACTCCTTTCTGAGCCATTTCTGCTCTCGGTAACAGCGACCGTCTGAGTTTCTCTTCCTCAGAAATGAAACTTCTCTGAGCTCTGAGCTGGAAATCACGTGTCTGCACAGAGACCAGAGCCAATCAGCTCTCAGCCTGTCGGCTGCCCCCGCCTCCAGCTGCAGATCTGAGGGGGGGGGGCAGGAAATATGATCCGGGGAGGAGCATCTGAGTTAGAACAGGGAGCGGCTCCGGGCTCTGATCCAACAGTTTTGCCTTATTCTAATCTCTTTGTGAAGAGAAGTCTCCTCAGATTTTTCCCAGTTAAAAAAGAAACCCGGCAGATTGCCCCAAATCGACCACTCAGTGATCCAGATGGAACAGGAAACGCTTTCCGTGTCCAGCCGAACTCTTTTCTGAGCCGTTTTCTTTTTATCTCAGCAGCTGTTTGAGTTTCACTTCCTACTCTTAGACACACGTATAAGGGACACAATTTTAAGTGGTTCCTTAAAACATATTTCAGAGGCAAAAAAAACAGGAACTAGTTGAGATTAACAGGGAAAAAAAAGGGTAATGAAAGTTCATGTCCGGTCAGCGAATGCCAGCTCTGACGTCCCGTATTTATTCCCTCGTTTTCTTCTTCTCATTTCTGCTCGTTCTCTGAATGACTCTGAGTCCCAAACAAGCTCAGGAAGCCAGTAAATCATGAAACCTGATAGATAGGTAATAATTAACCCAGGGGTTCACAGTCCAACAGCAAACACAAACTGCTTCACAGCGTTTTATTGACACTTTAGTGTTAAATGACATCATAGGACATGTTTAAATGTGGTTTGGATCTGTGAGCATCCCCGTGACAGAGACTCCGGATCAGAAACACTGTTCCGTTTTATTC